GGTAAGTGCATCTTAGTCGCGCATTGTAAAGTGCGGCTTTGTCCGTTGTTCCGTAAGAGAAGGTAGGAAACGCGGAAATGTTTTGTTTTGAAATATGTTTTAAAGTTTTCCTCCACGGCGACCGCGCGCGTCGCCAGAGAACCATTATGTTTCCGCCTCGTGGGCATTCGGGTCGAGCTTTCAAGTACATAGTCGTGCCATAAGTTCTGTCCCATGATAATCTCATGATAAAAATGAAACAAGATAAGATATATTTATATAAAAGATATTATTTATTCGACAACATTTTTAGAATTCATAATCAAACAGTTTTATTCAAAATGTCCCCCCTTGGCCTTCACACACTGCTTCAATCTCGCGGGCCACTCATCTATCACTGCACGCACAGCTTCCAAAGGAATAGCTGCCGCTGATCGGATCAAATCCGCTTTCAGGGACTCGATATTACGGTGGGCTTTGGAGCAGGCCAACTGCTCTAGCAGGTCCCACAACTTGTAGTCTAAAGGATTGAGGTCCGGACTCCCTGAGGGCCAATCTTCCGCAGCAATGAACTCTGGCACATTGCTTTCCAGCCAGCGCTGCGTACTCTTAGCCTTGTGAGCGGGGGCGGAATCCTGCTGGTAGATCCAGTGTTGGTTGGCAAACAATGTACCACTTAAAGGCTTGACGATAGGATCCAGTATGTCGCTCTGATAGTTTGCCGCTTTTGTTTTCACGCCCTGTTTACAGAAATGGAGCTGAGTGACCCCTTCGTAGGACACCCCCCACCAAACCATGACTGACGCAGGGTGGTGGCCTCTCTCAACTCTCGGAATGATCTCCGAAGCTTCCTGTGAACTCCTTTCATACACTTTGTCATTTTGTCGGTTGAATTTTTCTTCTATGGTGAAGATTTTCTCATCCGTGAACAAAATCTTTCGGAATCCCCCAGCTGCGTACCTCTCCAAGAGCTTCTTGGATCTTGTCGCCCTGATGTGTCGCAAGGTGGCCGTAAGTCGCTGGCCCGTACGTCTCCGGTAAGCCCCTAGCCCTAGGTCTTGTTTAATGATGCGCGACATCGTCCGGACAGGAATCTTCATTTCCCTGGATAGGATCTTCTGCTTCCGGAGTGGATTCCTTTGAATCCTGGCTTTTACGGCTTTGATGGCTGCTGGAGTCCTTACTTGACGAGGTCTTCCGCTTCTTGGCCTGTCATCAACAGAGGACGTCTCATTGTACCGCTGAATGGTCCTAGACACAAATTTACGCGATATTTGAAGGCCGCGTAAGAGTTCAAAAATCTGACCAGCACTGTGATTACACTTATGTAAAGCTATCACTGCAATACGGTTCTCTGCCTTGCCCCACTCCATCGTTATGCTTCGAGAGATCAATACAAACTGAGGTATATGTAATTACCCGAAAAGCGCTTAATCAACTGACACCACAATGTAAACAATCGGACAAGTATTAACAGGTCTACACTTGTTTGAAAACGAGGGACAGAACTTATGGCATGACTACGTATTTACGTTCGTTTGAGCTCCTTTGCCCGCCTTTGGGGAATGTTTTCATGTTATCTATAGGATGAGGTGCACAGTAATTAGCAAACTGAGGAAGAGGCGCGTCAATACGCAGCATTTTTCTAGCTTTTAGTTATTTGAAGAGGTTTGTCTGTTCTTTACACCGTGGCGGCCGCGCAGGCAGAAACCTAAATGCCAGGGCACCGTGGCTACTACAAGGAGGTTAAAGGAACTTTGGAAGAGGATCAGGTAGATTGTTCTATAATATCGTTAGCCTGGGCACAAAGGTGGTGACATCATGGAGAGCTCTGAGAAAGCAAAGTCTGTTGATATAGCGGACATAGGTAAATCTAAAGTATATTCAGATAAGAGATAGACCGGACATAAACAAGTACACGTGATCATCGAACGCTGTAACATTCGGCAGGGACGTATTAAGAGTCACGCAGTACATATTTTAGATAGTAGATGCTGCTTTACGTAACTTTGTAGTAAATTAACACAATTCGATGTGTATACGATTGGTGATGGATATAGGATCATGTGGGGGTGGGGTAAGAAATATATAATGATGTAAATATACATAAGGGTTTCAAAATTTTCGCTTCGATTTCCAGCTTCGGATGCCGTCTGATGTTTGGTGAAATACAGTCGAATATAATCTCAAAATGGCGTTTAAATTAGCCTAAATTAAAAATAATCGTATATCTCTTAAAATTGCTTTTAGAATATTGATTAGTATATTTTTTGATTTCTAGGTAAATATGTAACCAAATTAAAACGTTCAAAACGTAAAAAAATGTGCATGGTTGAACATTGTCAGAAAGTAGATTCTTGAATAGGTTTTGCCAAAATGGGTTCAAAAATGTCAATAATTAATTAAAAAATACAGTAGCTTTATAATTACTTATAACTTATAATCATCGCTACTGCCTGAAGCACCAACGTCAATAATGAATGGCTCGACTTGTTCCTCTAAAATATTGTCCAGTTTCCACATTCTCTTTTCAACTTTGTCTTTCACGTGCTTAATACAGTTTTCCCATTTTTGCGCTGTTATTAATTCTAGTGCTTCTTTGAAAAGTCCTTTGAGGTCACAAAATTTAAAAGTTGTATTGTGCTTAGCTATATAATTTTTAACCTCTGCCCATATGAGCTCAATGGGATTGAGCTCGCAATGGTATGGAGGTAAACGGAGCACAGTTTTATTTTGACTTGCTGCCATTTCGTCAATGGCGTATTTTTGATATTCCGCCTTGTGATCCTTGACAATTCTTAATAATTGTACTTTCAGCATTGCTTCTTCAAAGTTGATATTTTTCGAGCGGAGCCAATTTTGAACATCAACTTTCCTTGAAGCCGTTGTTGGGACGACCTTCTCCATTCTTCGAGAATGATAAGGCGCATTATCCAACACAATTACTGCGTTTTCCTCTAAGTTCGGTAAAATTTTTGAAAACCACTGTTCAAACGATTCGCCATTCATTTCCTCGTGGTAATCTCCAGTTTTCTTAGACTCAAAGCACCACAGACCGTCAACAACAAATCCATCCTCACTGCCAATATGGCAGATAATGAGCCTTTTCCCTTTACCTTTAAATCGAAGTACTAACTGGTGTAGATTTATTTCAATAAGCGAACCTTTTTCAAATGTTTTCATCACATTCAGCGAAAAAAAATTGAGACATGAGTATCAGATTGCTATAATTGGGATTATTTAGTCATATTGAAAGAAAGAATATTGAACGTCGTATGATTACTCAGCGCTTCACAATTTAATTTAAAGTTATAAACCTTTAAAAAATGAATGATCAGGAACCTGAAATATGCGCAAATATTAATATTAACAAATTATAACTTTATAAAGCTTAAGGTACGAATTAAAATGATTAGAAATATTAGGAACGGTACACAATATAAAACTTAGTAACTTTTTTTAAGTTTATAGTATTCGACATATTTTAAGATGATATTAAAAAATTATTGAAATATCGAAAACACATAAAAACATGGCTCAAAAAGTTCTAACAAATGAAAATGACAATAAAACATCCACGCATTTTATCGAAAGTTATAAAAGTTTTGTTACTTGTAATATGTTTTATCTGCCCCCTGGAATTAATGTTTAGAACCTTGTTCCCACGGTTTGAAAAACATCCGATTGTTGTCTATTACTCGTATTTACCTGCTGGATTTTTTAATCCGGTGGACAGTCCATCTAGAAAGGCCCTCCTGGATGAAGTTACAGAATCATCAACCCATACTTTACTTGTAGTGTGTCCTGCGTTTACCCACGTTTCATCAAGGTAATAAATCTTCCTGTTTTGATTTCTATATTTCCCAATTTTTGTTAAATAATCCCTCCTCCATAGCACAATTTCTTCTCTATCCAGTAGTAAACTATTACGACCCCGTTTTTTTCATTTGAAATTTAAATGCTTCAGTAACGCATTGAAAGTTGATCGTTTGAAATTTGGCAACGTTGTATCTCCATTTACCTCCTGCAGTACTTTATCTATAGTAGGTATTTCATTCCTAAAGAAGAATTCATGCACTTTCCTCCTAATCGCATGCTTATCAGCTTCATCCAGTGATTTAACAATACTTTTGCGATGTTTACTGGTCATTGGCTCAGAAAAGGTGTGATTTTTTTTGTATTGTCTTAACACATTAATCACTGATGCGCGACACACCCCAACTTTGTGAGAAACCTTCACAACAATTTCTTTGATGGTTGATGCCTCGTTCTCCTCGCGCTCGATCTTATATATATTCAAAATGACCTCTTTCATTTCTGCACTCAGGTGTCTTTTTTTAGAGCGTTTCCTAGGTGGACTACAGGAGTTTACAACTTCATCGGCAGTATCTGTACTACTGGGCATTTTGCGCAAGCAGTTGATAACAATAACAATCAATAACATGGTATAACAATAACAACGACAAACTCAACAACTTAATAAGATAACAAACGAAAACGTCCAAAGAAATATCAAATTGCAATGATGCACACGACATACGTAACACGTCTGAACCTGAATGTGACTCTGCCTTGATACGACTGCTCTGCCGCTCGGCATAGGCATTTAATTGCGAATTCACCAATGAGGGCTCCTGTTTTACGTCGAGACGGCGGCGTTAGCGTGAAAATCACCCGAACCTTTTGTTTACATCCGGTCTATCTCTTATCTGAATATACTGTAGAACGCTTTTCCCTCTAAATTCTGTTTCGAGATGTTTTTTACAACTCAGCCTGGCATTTTTTTATGTTCATGTTTATCCATCGTGTAATTGGCTTGATTGTATAAATAAATTCACGAAATCAGTCATTGGTAAAGTGTTGCTGAACTAGCATTCGGTATTTGGTCTTGATTCCGGCTGGTAATTGAGATCGACAACCAAGGAGGTGTACCTTCGGGATATTTTAATGAAATTGCTAAAAGATAGGTTTTGTAATATAAGTAAGTCGCCCGTTTTGACATTGACTTTTCCTTGTTGCAGGTACACAATTGCGTAAGCTCCTGCAGCAATGCATACATCACATGCCCAGCAGTAAGTGAATAATTAACCTACATTAGGTACCAGTAGCGGCGGACTACACGTTTTCACCCAAAATTCTACAAAATACACGGTGCCGCATCGAAAACGAAACAGACGCATTTACTGGCAGCACAGTTTTTTTTTTGAAAAACGCTCAGACCCGTCGATTTTGTTTTCGAGGTGCACACAAGTTTGGCAAAACATCAGGTTAGCACGTGGAGCCACCTAAGCGGGGGTGACGCCACCCCCAAAATCTGAAATGGAAAGGGGGGTCGAGTGATACCTTATTTTAAAGGTATTTCAATTCCCTTTATAATAATATAAATTAATGTACTTCAGTTCAGTAGTTTTGAAGCTTTATTGATATAAAGCTTAAAGTAGACTTTAATAGGTACATCAGATTAGTTTGTACTACTTTCAGAAGAAATTTGACTAAAAGAATTTACTTAATAAGTAAATGCTTTTCTTCACTACGCCCATGGTTTGTTTATCATTTTGTTGTTGAAAATACCTATTGGAGCGTTTTTTGTGGCAAAAAAGTTATTTCATGAGGAAAGATAAGGAAATATCTCGTACTTATTTCAAATAGGAATTTAGTATACTTTATCTGAAGTCACTTGAAATAGCATAAAAACCTTTGGTCGGCGCGTCCTTTGTAATTTCATAACGTATCATAGGCGTGCGGTCATTTATTTAGAACGATAATAATAATATTTTTATATCACAATAAATGGATTTTACTATCTTCTTATTTTTTTGATTTGGGATAAAAAATACTTATATTGGGAGTTTAATTTATGTTGACTGAAAGTTAAGAAATGGAAAAATTACAGAATTCCAACGTTTGACATAGGCAAATATTTACATAGCAGGTAGGTATATAAAAAGGTATATAAAGACTTACATTATAGGTATTTATATATCATCCTCGCCTTCGGAGCTGTCGCTAGAGTCATCTTGTAGAGGAATTACAACGGGATTTACAGGAGGCAAAACACAATATTCATTTTCTTTTTCAATAATATGCCTAGAAAACTGATTCCATAGGTCTGTGGCAGCAATATGAGATACCGCATCTCTTATTGTGGCCAATAGCGATTCACTTAACTGAGGGGTCTGATTATGTTTTCTTACTTTTTTTTTAAAGCAGCCCTGACCAACTCAATCGGGTTAAAAATGCAGTAATAGGGAGGTAGACGTAATATTTCATGGCCATTTTGCTGAAGCAGATTGTCAACAACATACTCTTTTTCAAATTTTTGTCTTTTAATAAGATCCAATAATATGGCTTTGGTTGATTTTTGTGGTATTTCCATTCCCTTATCCTTCTTAAAATCAATAATGTCTTGTTTTTTTGTGCCTGTATTCGGAATTTTGTTTTTCTGTCGGGAATGGTATGGCGCATTGTCCATAATAATCACTGAATTTGGGGAAATGTTTGGTATTAACTGCTGCTCTATCCACTTTTCAAATAAGTCGGAGGCCATGTCCTCATGATAGTCGGCACATGATTCTTTGATATTTTTGGCAAATAACAGCAAGGCATTAGGTATAAATCCATTTTCACTGCCAGCATGGAGAATAATGATTCGTTTTCCACGGTTGCATGGTGCATTTAAAATGCACTTGTTGCTGTCGTCAACCCAGCCGTACTGCACAACATCAGGGGTATCATACCACGTTTCATCCACGTAAATCAGATTTCTTTTCTGCTCTCTATAGATTTTAACTTTGTGCAAAAATTCTTGGCGCAATTCAACGATTCGAGACGACTCCATAATCACCTTTCTTTTATCTAACTTTTTGTATTGAAAACCACACAGTTTTACAATACAGTGCAGTGAGTCTAAGCATTTGTAATTATAAAAATCTTCAGGATAATCTTTTAATTTATCCCGTATCATTTCCAACGTGGGCACCAAATTTTCTTTATAAAATCCGTATATTATACGACGAATATCTTCCTGAAAACCCACGTCTATTCTTTTTAATTTTTGCCCTATGCGCTTTCTGTGGAAGGAATGGTTGACTACATCTCCCCTTTTTATAACCCGATAAATGGTAGACCGACTGATTTTTGTCAGGATACAAATTCTGTTTAAAATTTCATTTTGCGAGGAATCTGGATTTTCGTTTTTCAGACAATCATACATATTTAGGATTACTCTTTGGGTCTGTTCCTCTAAATCTTTATGAAAGAATTCTGCCTGCACAGGTTCATCAACCATCTCCTCGTGGCTTGGAGCATTTCCCCAAGGTCTCCAAAGAGCCATATTTAGGACACACAAGAACAATCAACACAACAATTAAATCAACAAGTAAACTGAGTATTCAAAAGTCAAAAACACACAAACTAATAAAATCCATGAAAAAACACGGACAGACTAAAGAAAACACGTTTATTCACCGCTACACGGCACTGGCTAAACTGTTTCAATTTTCAGTAGCCACCTGCACTTGTTCGGAGCTCTGAAATACACGCTTTCTCATTGGCTATGTCCACGCATAGGCGTGCTTTACACCACGTGGACCGGTGAAACTGCCTTTGCTCTTATACGGGGGATATTTGCTGCGAAATTTGGCGATTTTTGCAGCAACAGAGCGTGTTAAATATAGATATATAAAACGCACCCGGTATTTCACAGTATTTCAAGTGACTTCAGATAAAGTATACATAGTTTGCGATTGATTTGACCAAACTTTGTTGCTAAAGTAACTTTTAACGCTGTTTCGTTTTTGATGCGCCACCCTGTGTATGTTCTTATATCTACTGTCCACTTTATACGAGGGTGGTTTAGAAACTTAGGTTCCCGTCAGGTGGGGAATGCGTGCGGTCGTCCGATTTTTGCACGCAAGAACGTTACCACCCGTAGAGATTAATCACCAGTTGAGTGCAGTATATTGGAAACGTGTATAAACATTCAGCCTGTCCTCAAAAGGTGAAGAGAGTTCTTTAACGGCCGCATAGACATCCACGATGAACAACGAAGCCGACGACCGTCGATCTCCGAGGAAGTTATGGCGAGGATTCAGCAGTTTTTGCTGGAAGATCGGTGAATCACTATCCGGTAACAGGCAATATCTCATTTGAAGCTTTTGTCATAAGATTATAGCAAAATGTAAGATAGTAAAGGCAACACCGCACCCTGCAGCACAGTTGACAAGAACGACAAGTTGTCACGAAAAGTATCGTTATGTATCGATTCTTACTGTACTACCTCTGACCAAACAGAATCATCGGCAACGATTGGTATTGAGTAGGGAGAGACTAACGAAACGAATCACGAATTACGCCCAACAGCGGTAAGTATGTTTGTCCCCGTATCTGTGGAATTTTGTCACCGAGTGACGTCACTCAGGCAAAAGAGTCGGACAGATCGCATGCGGATGTTTTTATCTTGACAAGTAACAGTATCATGAGTCGCAGTCACGTTTCGCTGTGCCACTGCGCTTATGCAAACTCCTTGCGCGCGGGGTGACGTACACTTTAATTTTCAATAAAAGTCTCTGTCGCATCCGGCTCGCTGTGCGACGTGGCGCTCATAAAAAGTAATGAGCTTTTAGTTAGGACGCGGCAGTGAAAAGGTACACGCTGCCTGACGCGGGTTGTACATACGGACGGCAGGATTGAGGGGTGACAAGTCGATTTAAAAGGGCCAACGACGCGTATAGACTCTTTTGTTTTCGTGGAGGACGGCTAAGAGGACTTGACACACAGTAAACAGGTGTTGCTACGAAAAACAGTATTATTTAGAATTCATTCATAATATACAGGGTGTACCAAAAGTACGGACACACCGAAATATCTCGTAGCGACCTTGAAGTTGACGTTGACATTCAGGTCATTTCAAGGACAAGTTGGTTTTTCAAAAGGGACGGCGATAAAAAACCACAAAAATTTTGTTTTTTAACGGTATAAATATTATAGGTTCTAAAATTACATCTAGAGGTTATTTCAAGGTCAATTGTTGCTCTTTCATGGAGTGGTACAGCGGATAGCTGAAAAAAAAGAATGTTAAACAAAAAACATGATTGCGAAAGTTGCAAGACACCCAACTTCACATGACCTTGGAGGTCAGGTAAAGATCTGAAAATAGAGAAAAATTTCATCTTCAAAGGTGTAATTATAACTATCTCAGGTAAAATCACACCTAGAGGTTTTTATTTTGTATCATCAGTTCATCTTATTGAGTACGGAATTTTAAATTGTCATGCTTTTAATTCTAATAGGCCTTGAAGTAAAGAGTCGCAAGGCTTTTTTGAATTTTTAGAATGATTTCTTTTTTTCCCTGTCAAAATTATATTGCGCCTTTGCCTTGATGCTACAGGGTTGTTGTTAGTTCCATCCTGATGGTAATGTCTTTAATGAATGGGCTACAAGTTTTCATATCACAGCATTGGGATAGAATGGGCAATAATAACCCTTAGAACCCGTTAATAACTTTGGGGTTTTGAAATATCAAAAATTCCCCTTTAAAACATTCACTGCCTCGCCTCTACTGACCGAACACCAGCCTGGCTTGCCTTTACTGGACCGGAAAGATCTCTTTTTTCACTTCAGTCTAATCCATTTGACCTTAAAATAACTGCTAGGTGTGATTTTACCTCAGTTGAGTAAACCTTTGCACATGACCTTTTTCTCCATTTCCAGCGCTGGGACCAAAATTAAGGTTTCCATGTGCAAAAATTTTATTTGACCTTCAAGATCATAGTCAAGGTCAAAATGAAGGTCACCATCAGATGCGCCATTTTGGTGTCACGCAGTTGTCGCATTAAAATTTTTTCTGTAATATACTTCTTTTTCAACGTTTCATGAGAGAGTAACAATGACCTTGAAATAACCTCTATATTTAATTTAAGCCTTATGACATTTATACCGATGAAAAGAAATTTTGTGGCAGTCTATGTCTGCAACAAAACAAAGCCATTACGAACAATTGACTTTGAAATGACCTTCAAGGTAAATATCAACGTCAAATCCAGGATCACCACTATATGCGTTTTTGGATTTCCTGAAACTTTTGTCATTAAAGTTTTTTTCTAGCACCCTTAGTTTCCATACGTTTGTGCTACGCTGT